GCTGCCTGCAGCCCAGCATTCCTGCCAGCTTCTTCAGGGTCCCTTTAAAATCTCGGATGTATTCTCTGTTGGGGAAGGGCAGTCTTCAGTGAACTTTTAAAGCTCTGACTTCTACCTTTCTTCCTTCCTTCCTTCTTTCACTTTTCTTCAGCATTAGGGACAGTTGTCTCCATGTCAGTTGTTCTTAACGAAGATGGTCCTGGTGACATTGGTGGGTCCTAATCAGTGGGAAAGGGTGGGGGGACCTCATAGTGACAGCTGGTCAGACTCAAGTGTCCTTCCAGGAGGTATAAGGCTGAGACTCTGTGTTGGGGGGAGAGGTTGAAGATCACTGCTCCAGGCCTGGCACCTGGCTAGTTTCTATCCCACTTCGAATCCCCCTATCTTCATCCGGAAAAATTAACCTTTAATTTTACCACATGTTCACAGTTTTTGCTCTCCATCCTCCACAACCCAGTGCGGTAGTAAGAACATTGAATTTCCACTTAGAATTCTGAGTTTGCTTTCCAGTTGTGGATTTATAAGCTGTGTGATCTCGGGAAGTTACTTAAGCTCTCTGAGCTTCACATTTCTTATCTGTACGTGTACTTAGCTCAAGGGCATTCTGAGTCTCAGGTGTAGAAATTCTTTCACAACTGAATAGCGCTATAGATACATGTCAGTTTTTGCTATTTTATTGGTTCTACCTAGAGAATTTTTCTCCTGCTGCCATTTTTTAGCTCCCTCTGCCTTATAAAGAGTGTTCCAAAGTCATATTTGGAACATATCTTGCTTGCGCGGGTTGACCCACTCACGCTGGCTGATGTGAAATTTCTCTCCTCTTGACCTTAAGTTCGGGTGTCTCCTAGCTGGGAGCTAGGGAAAGCCCTGTGCAGACACAGGTGCCCACAAAACACAAGTGAACTGAGACTGGAGAGACCAGAGCGAGGTAGCCGTGTGGTGGCAAAAAGAGCCCGGACGAGGAGTCAGGAGGCCTGGCTTCTGATTCAACTCAAGAAAGTTGCGCTTGTCACAGGCAAGGTAACATGGCACCAGGCTGGAGCTGCTCCCCTCTCCCCCCGTGGCCCAGGGGCCTCGGCCAAGCTGTTTCCTCCTCTGCACACGGCCGTAGATTGGACTTGCCCAGCAAGGCTCTCCATACTGTGCATCCATACTGTGCCTCTACTCTTGGAATTTTCTTCCAGCTCCTGCATATTTTCCATCTGGCCCTTCAAGTTTACCTTTTTTTTTTTAATTAAAATTATTTTTCGGATTTAATTTTTAAAACTTTTTTCTTGTGGTAAAATGTAAATATCATAAAATTTGCCATTTTAACCATCTTTTAGGTTCAGTGGTTTTTAAGTGCATTCATATTCAGATCACCACCATCTATCCCCAGAAACTTTTCATCATCTCACACTGAAGCTCTGTGCCCAGTAAACGCTAACTGTGGCCTCCCCCCTCCCCCTTCAGTTGGCTTTTCGGCCTATGGGTCTCAGTTCTGGGGAAAGAGGGAGGACACAGGAATCTCCTAGGAAGCCTTTTCAATATACCCAAGGCTGCCTTGTCCCCTTCCCTGGTGGAGAACCCCTGTGGTGGATGCTTTTTTTTCACAGCTCTTTTTCTCTTTTCTTAAGTCTGCTTTGATTTCTTTCTCTGTTTCCAAATATAATTCTGACGTCTTGCATTGGTGCCACTCCCTTGGGCCACTCTTAAAACCCTTTTGCTCCCTTCATTCTCTTGCCTGTTCTATGTCCTCTGCAGCGCTACCCCGGCTCCCTTTCAGGGGCAGCCTGGAAGCCGACCACCTTGGCTGAAACAGTGGCTTTGCCACGCTCTGGCTGGTTACCTGCGTATCGCCCGCTCCGTCTCAGCCATAGATTACAGGATAGTGCAGCTTCATGGTGTGCTTCTGTAAGCTGAAAAATCCGGCTTTGAATACCTGGGGTTCCAATGAGAATGCCTAGAAGAGGGTGATAAATCTGTTTCCTTATGTAGATGGCTAGGTCGCCTCTTCTTTCCCCAGTGATGAGTGGGGCTTGAGGATGGGCTGAGGATGAGGTTGGTGGGTATGGACTGGGGAAGCCAGCCTCTCCTGATGGAGAGGAAGACGAGCCCATCAGAGTTAGAACTTGCAGCCTATGGGAAGGGACCTGGGTCAGTAACCACAAGCTGGAACAGCTCAGCGAGAAAAGTTTGTCCCTGGAAAGAAAGCAAGTCCTGATTTTTGCACCAATTTAGAAAGCCTCTCTCCTTGGGTTATTTGGGTTACAGTCTGTGGTATACCCCCAGTGACGTGGGCAGGACCCACCAGGATGTCCGTGGAGCCTCCTTTTCGGAGACAGGTGCTCGTGTGTTTTGTTCATAACGCACGCCTTCCATTCTTGACCCAAACCTGAGGCCTGAGGGGAGCCTGTTTTACAGCAGATTTTTTTTTTTTTTTTTTTTTTTTTTTTTTGCGGTATGCGGGCCTCTCACTGCTGTGGCCTCTCCCGTTGCGGAGCACAGGCTCCGGACGCGCAGGCTCAGCGGCCATGACTCACGGGCCCAGCAGCTCCGCGGCATGTGGGATCTTCCCGGACCGGGGCACGAACCCGTGTCCCCTGCATCGGCAGGTGGACTCTCAACCACTGCACCACCAGGGAAGCCCCACAGCAGATTTATTGAAGTATAATTCACATGCCATATAATTCATCCATTTAAAGTGTACAATTCAGGAGCTGTGCAACCATTACAGCAATTTTAGAGCACTTTCATCACCCCAGAAGTAAACCTGTAGGTATTAGCAGTCATCTCTCATGCCCCCATTTTGCCAGCCCTAGGCAACACTGGCCTGCTTTCTGCCTTGGCAGGCTCGACCATTCTGGCCAATATATGTCGCCGGTGTGACTGGCTTTTTCACTCGGCGTCATGTTCTTGAGGTTCACCCATGTGGTCCCAGGGGTCAGTTTTTCGTTCCTGATGATGGCTGAGTAATATTCTGGGGGACGGCGAGACCACATTTTGCCTCCCCCCTCATCAGCTGCTGGCCACATGGGCTGTTTCCGCTCTGGGGCCCCTGTGAGCAGTACCAACAGGAAGGCTCCCACGCCCATCTTGGTGTGCAGAGCCGCGGGGCCCCATGGGAGCATCACACAGCATATCGTAGGAAAATGTTTTTTTCTCTCCTTTTCCTTCTAGTCAGAATTCCTACAAGAGTCCAATCTGATCATGGCCAAGTTGGATTATGTTGAAGGAGACTATGAAGCCGCTCTCAACATTTATGCCCGGGTGGGCCTGGAAGACTGGCCGCTGACGGGTGTCCCCCCTTACAGGTTGCGGATGGCCGCGGACGCCTACGCCACCAAAGGTGAGGCCCACGCCTGCTCTCCTGGGGGCCGTGCCCCGGGTCGCGCTGTCTGGAGCTGCAGGGCCTCCCTGGATCCTGCGGTTTGACCCCTGTGCCCTTGGCTGGGCTTAACCCCGGCAGCTTCCGGTGAGACCCCTGGGGTTGACCCACCATAGGCACTGGATCATTTTAAGCGTAGCGACACGGCGTTTCCTTAGAGCTGCAGCTCCTCAGTTGTCCCCGAAGGAACAACGTTGCAGTAAAGTTTCCTGATGATTAATGTGCAGCTTAAGCAGGGACCGTTCTTGGTAATTAAGATGCCGCACAGCGTTTATACAAGGGATCCTTATCATACGGCCAGTCGGCTATGTGGCTGATCTCATTTTTATTCATCCGTGCCACCTCTGGGTTAATTAAGGCTCAGTGGTCACTGTAACAGCCAGTCATGCAGTGTTTACCTGGGGGCCTAGGGGCTCAGGGGATAGAAGGGGGAAATGTTGCCCTGGTTGCCACAGAGGAGTTTGTAATCTAATGTGAGGGAGTGCAGTCCCACGGGAAAAAAAAATGACAGAAAGCCAAGGCACACACATTATTTGACCTTTCCAAGTCTCCACTTCCTCATCTATGAAAGGAGTGTAATCACATCCACTTCATAGAGTTATGAGGATTAAGTCGCATAATGTATGTAAAGCACTTACTAAATGATATTTTTAAATGTCAGCCCCAAACAAAACAGCAAATGGAAAAAGCCAGGCCCGGTAACAGCTTTTCAGAGGCAGGAGAGGTCACTGTAGGCCAGCAGGGCCAGCAAGGCTTCCTGGAGGAGGAGGGACACTTTGAAATAGATTTATAAAGGCCTCAGTAAGAAGGAGACCCTCTGAAAGCAGCTCCTCCTTCCTGCCACCTACCATGCAAACCATGCAATGTGGCTGACTGTGGCCACACAGAGGCTCGGGCCCTGGGTGTGTTGACCCTCTAGAACAGCATTGAGCTGGCCACTTGTCTGCAGCCGGCTGTCTGCCTCGGTTATCCTATGCAATGTTGAACAAAGACCCAGCCAAGGCACACTTAAAGAGCCTTGTGACAGGGGTGACATATTCACCCAGTTCCCTGGGGAACCTTGCTCAAGCACTTGTTAGGTTCCTCTAATTAATCTTCTCAATGTCCCTGTGGGCTGGGAAAGGATGCTGTCACTCTGACAGGGCACTCTGGCGGTTTACGGGGCGCAGTCCTTTGAGGCTGTCTCAGGGGTTCTGAGGGCCTGGGCCTGGGCGTGCATCTGTCTGAGGTCTGTGCCACACAGCTGCCCTCTTTTCTCGCTGGTGTTCACCCAGCACCTCACATGCCTTAGGCTTATGGGAGCTGTGTGTGTGTGTGTGCGTGTGTGTGTGTGTGTGTGTGAGAGAGAGAGAGATTTGGGGCCAGGAACAATATTGCGCAACAAGAGCAAGGCTTCATCTGGCAGTTTCCAGTCACCTGATTGACCTGGGGCCTGCTGGCTTGTAGCCAGGAGTTGGTTTGTCCTTTGTGGGTGGAGCATGGCTCTAAGACCTGGTTAGCACCAAGAGCTCAGGTCTTGATTTGGGCTCTGAGATGGCCTGGTGGGGCAGACTGTCTGCAGGTGGCACCACCAGCTTAGTCTCACGGCTGCCATGCAAAGTGGGCAAGCGGGACAGGAGGCTTGGTCCCCAAGTCTGGCCCTGGGTGGTGTGTGATTAGCAGTGGGCCCCAGCCACAGGGCTGAGGCGTTTGGCTGTTGGGACATGCTGGCTGGCTCATGGGAGAAGGGAACAGCTGTCCCCTCACTTCACCAGAGTAAGACTGGGCTGGAGCAAAGCCCAGGTGCACTTTGGATGGGCATGCACCAGCCCATGCCCCTCCCCTGTGCCACCTGTATGCTGCTGTAGGCCGGGGAATTGACCTGCACACTTTCACAGGTCACCTCAACTTTTCCATGGTCCCCTGAGGTCTGACTCGATGCAGTCTCTCAGCCAGAGTCAATGTCCATGAACTCCCACATCTGCTCTTGCAGCCATGGCCGGGAGCAGATTCCCCTGGCCGTGTAATATAGCCTCGGCTTGTTGGGAATCAGAAGCCAACATGATTCAGTTATGAGAACCTCCTATGGGCCAACACCACGTTAGAGTTTTATTGTCTCTTTAATCCTCCAAACCCCTAATTTACAGACAAAGGAAATGAGACTGGGTGAGGTTACTAGGAATGATATGGTGCCTACTGTGTGCCAGGCACTGTGGCCCTTATTTGGGTGTCTCAGCCAAGCTTCACCATCACCCTATGAGGTAGACACTATTATTTTTTTCCATTTTACAGATGAGAAAACTGAGGCACAGGGATGTTAGGTATGCTGCCCGGAGCCCTACAGCTGGGAAGTGGTAGAGCCAGGACTCAGCCTCAGTGGCTGGTTCCAGAGCCCATGCTCTCCTACTGAGTGGCGGGAGGGGGACTTAGTCTGAAGAGTGTTCAGCTCCAAAGCCCACGTTCTTAATTACTCTGCTCTGTTGGCACGTGGATGGGAATGTGCTCAGGCCAGGTAAGGTTTCCGCAGGTAGAAAACATTCAGGTCACTAGAGAACACCCTAGATTTGTATCCACACCCCTCCTCTCAGCCCCACCTCTCACGTTCCTCTCCCTTAACTCCTTGCCCAGGTCCCTTGCTGTAAGTTCTGGCCCTTAAGCTCACATCTCCTGTCTTCCCTGACACCCTCCAAGGCTCGGCCATTCAGAGGCCATCGCATTTGATAGTATCACAGCCCAGTAGGTTAGAACTACTCAAACGTCATATTAGAACTAGTTGTACTGCGATCAGACACTCCTGCCAGTCTGTGAGTTCCACTCAAGGAGCAACTGTTTTGTTTGTTTGCCATCCTCAGAAACTAGCACGGTGTTTGGTGCCTAATTGGTGCTCAATTATTGATTGAAATTTATAGAAGTTCCCTTGCTCAGATTTCTACCAAGGTGCCCATCGTGTAATTCAGGTGATTCTGGGTGCCTTTGCTTCTAGCTGTCATGGTCAGGTGCATTTTCTTTGCCCAGAGGTAACATACTGAGCATATTTCGATAATTCAGACTTACTCGCTGCCAGTTATGGGTTGTACCTGTAAGAGCATGTTGACATCACACCATGACAGAGGCTGGCCTTCCCCAAAGGTTATACATTTCAGTTCATTTCCATTATCAGAGAGCCTCTAAATGGATCTCAACTCCCCCCCACCCCACCCCCCGCCCATCCCCCCAGCGCATTCCTCCTATCCCTTAAAACTAAGTAGAGAAACAGAGACTGGGAATAGAAGACATGGAGAAACTCTTTAGCTTCTGGTAGAACTGGGTTAATCAAGTGAGTAGAAATCTTTGTTCTGGGTACAGATTGAGATATCACGGTATTGCAGTGGGAGATAGGGAGATCTCCAGGACACCGAATGGCCACAGATGTTCTTTTCCCAAAGGGGGGAGGATTGGGAACAGTGAACACATGGTCAGTGTCTATTTTGGGACTTCGATCTGCTGGACATCGGCTAACTTTCTGCAGCTAGGACAGTGGGAGCTGTAAGTGGCTTGCCTTCCTAGAGATGACCTTTATAAATAGCCTTGGCATGTACCCTGTTGTAATAGAGGGACCACAGATGCATTGGTTCCAATTTGAGGGAAGGCCTGTGACAGTCCTGTGATGGCCCACCTGGTCACGGTGGGTAGGCAGCTGTGTTCTGCGAGGTTGCTGTTCCTCCCCCGTCTGCTAGGGCGCAGTCCTTATCTGTGTGATGGATGACTGAAGCTGGGTGGCTGGCATGTTGCAGCTCGTGGAGAGGGGAAAGGAGAGAGATGTCTAGGGTGAGCAGAAGTAACACACACCAGCTGTGCTGACAGTGCATTGGTGAGAAGTCACTGTAGGGCCATGGCCACCAGGCACTTGGGAAAAAGAGGAGACTGGGGGGACATGTAAGCCTCTCATTAGACATGTCCATCAGAGCTTGGTCTCGGACCCAGGTGGGACCTGTTGGGGGATGCAGGGAGAAGAAAGTAGCCTGTGCTCAGGTGAATGAAAGGGAATGCGTAGGATCTGAGGCTTGGGATTGGTGCCCACGAGGAGGGAAATTATGAACCTGGAAACAGCAGCGTGGTATTAAACTTCCTTTCCAGATTGCATGGTACCAAAGCAGAGAAGGACTGACTCCGAAATATAAACAGGGCCTTCACAGCCATCTCTCACACAAACGTCTTATTTTCCAGCGGGGGAGACTGTGCCAGAGAAGGTAAGGGACTTGCCCAATGACACAGAATGAACTGGAGGCAGGGCCCGGACATGGAGGTGTTTCTTGGTAGGAAACGTTCCTGTCAAGCTGCATGACGTCTTCCCAGGTGGAGAAGGCGGTATAGTGTTGGGAGCTTTGTGGGGCCTCCTCCACTTTCTTTATTCCTCCTTTGTTCCTGGGTTTGCAATTGCTCCTCTGACACACTGGCTCAGAGCTTGGGGTTTTGGAGCCAGACTTCCAGGTTTGATCTCTAGCTTTGTCACTTACTAGCTGTAGGATCTTGTGCAAATTACTTTCACCTCACTGGGGCTCCATTCCTTCACCTATAAAATAGAGATAATAATAGTATCTACACTATAGCATTGTTGTAGGGAAGGAGTGAACACACGTAAAGCGCTTAGCACAGTGCCTGGCACATCAACAAAGCTTAGCTATTTTTATTCTTATGTATCCCTGGAGCTTGAACCCAAATGGATAGATCTCTTCAGAAGCCCCAGGTAACAGCCAACTATGGGGAGAGGGGAGAGTTGCCCTAGTGTATCTGCCTCGTGTAGCAGAGGGCTTGGCTCAGGCTGTGGGAGCGCAAGCAGAGATTGGAGGCTTAGGGAGGAAAGGCTGTTGGTGCTGGAGGCTGGGGGGCACCCAGTGGTCAGGGGCAGGTGGAGTGGGTACCGTAATGGGGCTGCTTGAGGGTGGGTCCAGAGACAAGTTCATCCTGCACTTCATCAGTCTTGCCCCGGCCTGGCCCGGAAG